ACTTGCTTGGTGGGTGACGCTGAGCAAGTCCCTTTGCCTTCTGGAGGATTTCCCCATCTGTAGAATGGGGAGAATCAGGTTTTCCTCCCTCATAGGGGTCATTAGCTAACGTCTGACCACACAAACTGCTGAGTGTGGTTAGTTAAGGACGAAGCAGATTTCAAGAGTTTTCTAACCACCTCCAATGAAGACAACACCTGTACAAAGTGTGACTTTTCCTGTAGGGCCTACAAAAATAGCCTGCTTCATTGTGGTGTGGCAAGAATGCAGCCTGGAGATCTCAAAGGCGTTGAAGGGAGTTGGGCCCCCCAACTTCCTTTGACGTTCCATGAGATTTGGGCCCCCCAGCTCACTTTGAACCTCCCATTTGTTGGGAATACAGATATTTTAGCATCATTAGCATGTGCTCTGTTTTCCTCCCCATCCCCCAGGGCCGAGTGCAGTATAAATGCCTGGATGATTAGATAGATAGAGATACCAGATTATACCCATGTTAAGGTAGGTCACATTTCAGGGCTTAATGTACTTGGCAGTGTCTCTTAGCCATCACATGGAGCATTCACCACTGTAATACCCGTCCTGGCGGCCCCGTCCTGACGTCCGCTCTGCTCAGCAGGGAGAGAGGAAGCCAGCAGCTTCTCCAAGCAGGAGCGGGATGGGGATCGAGATGGTTGCTTTAATCATTTGGGGATTAGGAGGTTCAGCGCTTGGGATCTAATGTCCAATCAGATCTCCTGCAGCCTCCAGGGCCCTTTTAAATGACAAACCCAGCAAGATCCCACCCCACGTCCCTTTTGATGTAATTATCTATTAAAAAATAAATAGAAAGGCAGCGCGGCCGGCTTTGTTAATTAACGAATCTTGCCTTGTCCTGCTTCTCTTTTTGCTCCCATCTCTCCCATGCTGGGTAAATACCAGGGACACCCACCTCTCTCTCTCTCTCTCTCTCCCTGTGTAATTAAAAGGCTGCCTTTGAATTACTGGAGCGCTGCTTAAATTTGCAGGGTTAATGCACTCCGGTCGGTGGAAATCATGGAATCAGCATACAAGACCAGGAGGGGAAGGGGGCAGTTTTCAAGGCACCCAGGAGCAAAAGGAGAGGGATGGGGTGGTGGAGGGAGGACAGGCAAACGGGACGGGCTAATAGATTCAAGGGTGGTAATCCCGCCTCCGTTGCGTGATCTTTGCCACCATGACCCAGCTCAGAGACATCCCCCAAGAGCATTAATGAGCACGGTTGCTCCTTGTCTCCCTAGCTCGCACTGGCTATCAGTTTCCTTGGTCTATTTCTGGCTCCCCTGGGGGATTGTGTCTCCCCATACCCACCGCATGGTTATTTGGCTCCATCCCACTTCCACCCATGGGCCAGCTGCTGCCCCCTTCCGGCATAGCCATTGGTCCTGCATGAGCAATGTGCAAATTAGCATACAAAGCTTGTGCTTCCCCTTATGACCATAGAGGGCCCGACTGAGATCTGGGCCCCACTGTGCAAACACATGGGGAGAGACAGTCCCTGCCCCAAAACTGCTGAATAGACAAGGGGGTGGGAGGCACAGAGAGGGGAAGTGAGGTGTGCAAGGTCACCCAGCAGATCAGTGCTAGATATGAGAAGAGAACCCAGGCGTCCTGATTCCCAGTCCAGTGTCCTACCTCGCTGGATCCTGCTGCATCGCTCCCAACTCTGGCGGACGGAGAGTTGAACCCAGTTGTCTAGTAGCCCTTGTCCCTGCTTTCCGGTGCTCGGCCTGTTGTCTTAGATTAAAGTTTCTTGCCCATGTTTAAAGCAGCTCCCAAAGTTCAAATGATGCAGACCCAGAGAGGTAGCACTCACACAGAAAGCCCTAGGGAAAAGCAAAACACCCACAGATGAACCGGCCTGAACAGACAGGACTGCAGGGGTGGCAGAGTGGATACTTTGGGAGCCGCTGGCATCTTGCCTGGCCCGAAAGGAGCACTGGGAGGGGAAGCAGTGGGCGAAGGGGCCTGTCACCTCTGCATCCCAGACCAATGATCAAAAGCTGTTCCCCTTGTCGGAGGGTGTATCACTGGCCTGGGGAATGGAGCTGGTCCACTTCCTGAGCCAGGTGTTTACAGCACACGTTACGCCACCCCTTGGCAGTCCCGGCACCCAGGCTGGCCAGAATGGAGCAGCGCGGGAACTGTTGTGTGGGTAGCAGCAGAGGCAGGGCTGTCTGAGCCAGCAAAGCAACCACCTGCACAAAGCGGATGATGGGGAACGCGCGTTGAGAGCCGAGAGAGGGGAGATGGGGGGAGCTTGTCTCCCTCGGCTGCCCTCCCCCACCCCCGCAATCAATCAGCACTGGATACATCGCAGCTGAGCAGCAAACATGCGGGGGGGGGGGGGGAAGAGACAGGGATCACTTTCCATCTAACCCATCCAGCCCCGCACCCTTTCTGCTCCCAGCCTGCCCCCTGGTTCCTGGGGCCTGCCCGGCCTCCTCTTCCTCCACCTTCAATCTGCCCTGGGGGGCACTCCGCATGGCAGGCGAAAGATTGATTCCTCTCCCCTCAGCAATTGCCTCTCGGCAGCAGAGCCGCGGCTGTTGCGTTTGGAAGGACAGGGGCGGGCGCGGGCGTGGGGGCAGTGGGTAGGAATGCCAGTAGCTGCCAGCCCTTCTGTGGGTTCATGGCTGGGGCTCTCGCGGCTTCTGCCCTGCTCCCTGTTCTAGGCCTCGCATGCAATCTGTCCCATTTCTCCATCGCCAACTGGCCTCTGGCCTGGGATCGCGACATCCCTGGCATTAACTGGGGAGCTCTTTGCAGGCTGCCTGCGCCCGGCTTTTGCCCTCACGGTAGTGGGGATTAGCGCTTTGCAGCATTACGTGTCCATTTAGGTTTTAGGAGGGGATTTGAAAATCAGGCTTTTGCCTTTAATTCTTAAATGTTTAACCACTGGCTTCCAGAAGTAAATTTAAAGGGACAGGGGGACCAAACTGAGTAGGGGCGGGGGGAGGGAACCCCTCTAAGGACAGAGGGACAGTCATACCAAAGAAAGCCATCTAGATTCCCGGCCGGGAGGGGTCAGGGAGAGGCCAAACGTTCCCACTGAGGCTCCAGGTTCACCCCAGAGAAGGGGATCCGTGTCACTCACATGTGGCATGTTTTGTTCAGTGCATCCCGCAGGAAAGCCGTGGCTTCGTTCTCGGAAGATACCTCTGTCTGTGCAAGCCGGGCTTCTATGGTGCAAGCAGGGCCTCCGGCACTGGCCAGTCCGGTAGGTGGTAACCCTGCCTGGCCTACCCCAGCCGGAGCATCTCCTCTGCGTGGCTGGGCTTGGCTTTTTCCTTGGGCTGCATCCACAATGCAAAGCCAAAGCTTGGCTCTCCTAGTGACCCATCTTACCCGGCCTCCCTCCCCATAGCATGCGAGCACCTCCCCAACAACCCTCCCTCGTTTCACAGAGCGGGAGCTGAAGCTAAGTGACTCACCCACGGTTGTGCAGAACATCAGTGGCTAAGCAGGGAACTGAAGCCAGGTCTCCCATATCTAAGGCTGGTGCTTTAACCATTGCACCCTCCTTCCTCTCTAGCTTCCCAGCTCTCTGACTCCACAGGCCCCACTGCCATCTCCGAGCATTATAAGCACCCGGCATTTCCAAAAGGCTCCCCTTCCCAGATGCTGCAGTTCCACCATCTGGAAATGCATCCATGGGTTTGGACCCTTGGGGCTGATCTGTGCCCTGCTTTGCCTTAACCTTTTCCTGATCTCCCACCCAGTACAGGAAAATACCCTTCATCAGTGGACAGGGATGGGCGGGACTGCAAATCACAGGGCCAAGTTAAAACTGGCTCAACCAAGTAGGGTTAATGTCATGCCTTGAGTTAACCAGGCCTTAGAGATGCCCTAACCAGAGAGAAGAGCGTCCCAATGATTGCTCTGCACCTTGGACTATCATTTATACCAGCGCAAACAAGGTGCTACCAAGTCTGAAAGGCAGCTTTTCACACCTATGCCGTGCCGGTGTAGATGACGCTGTGTGGGGTGGGGCAGCAGAGAATCAGGCCCAGAGGCAGTGCTAGCCTAAACAGGAACGTTTTTGCTCCCCCAACACATAATAAAAAGCAAATGGGGGCCCCCCCTTGAGCTGCTTGGGGCCATAAGCAATTGCTTAGTCTGCTTACACCTAGCGCCGGCTCTGATCAGGCCCAGGCCCCATCCATGAGTCTGTTTTGCGGGAGGAGAGGAAGCAAAGGCTGTGCAGAGACGCAGCGACATTTTAACCTTCCCGCACGCCTCCTTTTCACCCCTGCAGGCCCCGAGGAAAGCTCGTCCCAGTACGTAGGGCAGTACGGAGCCGTGGACTCTGGGACCTTGCTCGAGTGCCGGCCCTGCAAGGAAGGATGCGTGACGTGCGTGGACAACACCCCGTGTTTGATCCAGGAGGATTGGTCCCTGCGGGCTGCTGTCCTCTCTTTCCAGGCCTTCTGCATGCTGGCTGTCTTTCTCAGCATGCTGGTCTCCTACCACTTTCGAATGAGCAAGGCAAGGCATCCGGCGGTCCCGGAGGAATGCACTTTGACTACGGGGCCCCACTTCCCTGCTACAGTGGACTCAAAAGACCCTGGTTCTTGGGCAGTCCTCCTCTCTGCAACACCTCGGGGCCATATAGTGAAGCCTCCAAGACCTGGTGCAAGTTCTGTTCAGCATCCTTGGAGAGGGAGGAAAGCAGGATGCTCATCCTGGCTCAGAGCCCATGTCACACAGGGAAACGTTTTCAGTGGTCTCCAGTTTTAGGTGCCTCTGTTTTCTGGACACCCAACTTGAGCCACCTCGGCACCGAGCCCCTGCAGCTGCTGCAGATTTTGGCTGGAGCTGGGGGAGGGGGGGTGTTTCCCTGCCATACCCCTCTGTAAATCAAGGTCTTGAATGTCTCCAGCTGGGCTGCCATAAAAGGGAGGTAGCCAAAATCAGAGGCCACTTCAGGAAACGGTGCTTCAAGCTCTGTGAACTGGGGTGACGCTATTGACTCACCTGCCTCGGTGCGGCACGGGAGGGTCAGCTGGATGTGTGCAATGGGCTGGGGACCAGCACAACCCCTATACACACCTTAAGTCCCAAGAAAGCCCTGCTTAAGCCTTGCACAGGTGCCCTACCCGGGGGTTGACTTCCTGCCCAGCTCTCCAGAGCGGAGGAGTGCTAAGCACAGGACTAAAAACCAGGTGACCTGAGTTCTCTGCCCAGTGCTGCCCCAAAATCTGGACAGGTTGCTTTCCCTGCTCTGTGCCTCAGTTTCCCCATATGGAAAATGAGGTGATATTTAACTGCTTCAGTCATGGGGGGAAAAGTGGAGGGTGGGGCATCCTAATTCATGTTTGTGAAGTGCTTTAAGGGCCTCATCCAGAAGGCACTAGAGGTGGCAAAGTATTATAGTTAGCAGCTTGGTTTCCCCCCTGCCCCATCCATTTTCATTTAAAATAAAAATCTTCACCTGGAAAGAGCAACGTTTCCACATGCTCCTGTTCGTTTCCATTGACAAGGGCGCCTCCTGCTGGTGCACAGTCTCACCTGGCACACTAGATTAACTCCACTTTCAAGCCACCTCCTTTTCCAATGGGATTATTTCAAGAGCCCCGGTCCAGAATATATATATGAGTTTTATTAGAGAGGGGAGCCCAGGCCCATGGAGCTTGATTCTGGGGGGCTGCAGTGAGGATGTGGGGCATTCCCCCCACCAAGTAGGGGCACATTCAGGAATACCTTCTCCGCATTGAGCTCCCCTGCGGATCCATCCTCCACATTGGCATCATATGCTTGCTTGGTCTGTTCCCCCACCGCATGGATTCTCTACCACATGTGTGTGTCTCTCTCTCTCTTTGTTTCCCTAGAGGATCCGGGCATCAGGAGTTATCCTGCTGGAGACCATCCTCTTTGGATCTCTGCTTCTCTACTTCCCTGTAAGTATCTGGCTTGCACTGGGAAGTCAGCACTCCGTCCTTTGCCCCAAGAGCACCCTGACTCCGGAAGGAGGCTGGGCCGGATAGAAGTAGGTTCAGTGCTTTCCCTCTTCTCAGACCTTCCTGTCTGGTGATCTCCTTGTGCCATGGTACCTTTGATCCTAGCCAGGACAGAGAGAGAGAGAGAGAGAGACCCCAGGGGGCCAAATCGAGCCAATAGAGTTACACTGGGGATGGATTCACCCCAGGAATCCCAATGAAGGCACGCATTGGGCAGCTTCGCCCGTCCCACCCCTCACACCAGCGCAGCTACACGGCTATTTTTAGTGCACTGGCTTAATCAGAGCTAGCACAGATCCATCTACCCCGGCTGGAAATGATACCACCAGCTCCAGGGCAGATGTACCCTGGGGCTACCTGCCATGCCCTCCCACAGATCCATCATCCAGCGGAGGATTCAGAGGCTAGAACAATGCCTTGCACGTATCTGAGTGTCTCTAGTATCTAGTAAGAGCCGTCAGGTAGCAGAGTGATGAGCATGGAACCGTGTAAATTCCTAGGCAGAGAGGAACCCTCAGCTGCACAAGAGCATAGACGTGTATCGCCCCTCCTCCCCGGGGATTGGCTCTGCTCCTCCTATCCCACGGGACCCTAGTTCTTTGGGGTAAGGCGGTTGTCTATTGATAGACAACATCACATCGTCCCCTGATAGGGTCCTCAGTAGCTAGGAAAGCCCATGTGAGGGTTTGAGTCCAGTGGCACATTTCACTGGGGCTATTTCACACCCAGAATTCGCTGAGCCGGAGGGTATGTCTACCCTTCAAATGCTACAGCAGCGAGCTTCAGTGTAGACACAATCTATGCTGATGGGAGAAGCCACCTCCCAGAAAGGCAGTAGCTAGGTCGAAGGAAGACCAGCCCTGTGTGTTCCTGTTGTTCTTCTCCCCCGAGAGCTGGGCGTGATCCAGCCAAGCTGCCTTTCTCCCCACCTACGTGGGCGCAGCTCAAAGCTGATCACAGGGCACCCCAGCTCCTGGGATAGGTCACAGTGCCCCTGCATGGGGGCGGGGGGACGAGAGGAGCCCCAGCACCTCCAGAACCCCAAGGATCAACCTCCTCCCTTCATGGCAGGAGGGACAGGAAGCAGCCTAGGGTGTACAAAAGGCGGATGGAGAGTGCGGCTCACTCTCCATTTGCTCTCCTAGAAGGACTCCTTCCAGGATCTTGGGTTCCTTCTCCAGGCCAGGAGCAGCGAGAGGTCTGCCATCAAACAGGGTGTGAGGGCAACTAAGCTGATGGCTAATTTTGCTGTCCCGGACACCAGCTCTTGTGGGATCATCCTTCTCAAGAACTCAAATCCCTTTTCGGCCACTGGAATTAAATTAAATGATCTAAATCCTCTCTCTATCCTGCAAGATTTACAGCTTCTGCCTTCAAGAAAGCACCAGGGAAGGGGAACGAGTCTTTTCCAAAGTAATTGATCTTCAGGTTTTTCAGCAAATTTCTCTCACATACGTTCCCTCGCTCCCACAAAAGGGGGCAGAGGGGAGTTAGCTGGAATTTGCAAATTTGTCACCCACAATCTATTTGAATTTTTGGTGCTTATAGACTGCACATCACCATAGTGTCCAGCTGATGCCCATCATACTATGTCTTGGTAGCCAGTTTATGTTCCACTAGAGAAATATTTGTCCTAGTGCCCTGAGCAGAGGACTGGGAGCCAGGCACCCTGTGTTTTCAATTTGACTCCTGCTGAGAGTCATTTTGTGGCTAAGGGGAGGTCACTTGATCTTCTTGGGCCTCAGTTTCCCTGTCTGCAGATGCCACATACAGGTATCAACTACATACAGACACACAGGGAATGCAACTAGAAGGCACAAAAAGATGGGCCTCTACCACTGAAGCAAAAGGAGTACTTGTTGCAGTAGTCAGAGGTGTAAGACCATGGGAGGTCTGCAACCTGTAGGATGCAACATCAGCGCGCGCGCACACCCGGGCACAAGGAGGAGACACAAGGGACATGGGAATTGCCGTACGAGAACTCGGGGTCACGCAATAAAACTAACAGGCAGGAAGTATTAAAACAAACAAAAGGAAGTATTTCTTCACACAACGCACAGTCAACCTGTGGAACTCCTTGCCAGAGGATGTTGTGAAGGCCAAGACTATAACAGGGTTCAAAAAAGAACTAGATAAGTTCATGGAGGACAGGTCCATCAATGGCTATTAGCCAGGATGGGAGGAATGGTGTCCCTAGCCTCTGTTTGCCAGAAGCTGGGAATGGGTGACAGGGGATGGATCACTTAATGATCACTTGTTCTGTTCATTCCCTCTGGGGCACCTGGCACCTGTCAGAAGACAGGATACTGGGCTAGATGGATCTTTGGTCTGACCTAACATGGTCGTTCTTATGTTCTTATGTCACAACAGTCTCCACAAGTGGCCAGGACCAGCTGCTTCAAAGGCAGGTGCAAGAAACCCTGCACTTATGGAATCACCTACCCCCAGGGGAGGTTTCCACCTGAGGGGGTAGGAATTGGCAGAGGGGGGCTCATGCTCGGAAGCCAGAGGGTTTATGCCTCTTTTAAACTATTGCTGACTTTGGTTAGTATTTGCTAGCTGTAGAATTCCCATTATCCACAGAAACATCCAGTCCCTTCTGTGAATCATGCTAGGGTTCTGACGCACAACACTGCACAGACGACGTCACATTTACACGAAGGCTCTGTCTAGACGAAGATACAAGATGTTTTGTTAGAACTTGGTGGCTAACCCAATCCAACACCACAACTTTTGTCTGAGTCTAGATGAGCCCCAATCTCTTTTTCCACTGCACTGGCGGCATCCCGGGGCCTCAATGTGGCTGTTAACATCCCTGACATCCATTATAACGCCCCAAAAGGCTGCCAGAGCAGTCTCAAAGGTCCACAAGTGCAAACGAGAACTGGGACCCAAATCTCAGGTGCAGGTCGAGCTGGGGAAGTCGGAGCAGCAAGTAAGGCCCTCCCAGCTTCCCCAAACAGAGATCTGAGCTGCCCTGGAGTCACCCCCTCTCGCCTTTCTGTCCAGGTGTTTATCCTGTACTTCAAGCCGAGCATTTTCCGCTGCATCATCCTGCGCTGGGTGCGCATGCTTGGGTTTGCCATCGTCTACGGGACCATCACCCTCAAGCTGTACAGGTAACGCAGCCAGGGCAATGACCCATCAGACAGCAGCTCCTTCTACAAGCCCTCCCACCAGCAGCTGTTTCATAGAGTCCAAAGCCAAACGGGGACCATTGTGAACAACCAGGCTCATCTCCCATCTGACACAGGCCATAGGACTGCCCCAGAAATAATTCCTAGAGCAGATCTTTTCGAAAAACATCCAGTCTTGATTTTAAAATGGCCAGGGATGGAGAATCCACTCTGATCATAGGATATCAGGGTTGGAAGGGACCTCAGGAGGTCATCTAGTCCAACCCCCTGCTCAAAGCAGGGCCAATCCCCAATTTTTGCTCCAGATCCCTAAATGGCCCCCTCAAGGATTGAACTCACAACCCTGGGTTTAGCAGGCCAATGCTCAAACCACTGAGCTATCCCTCCCCCCGAACCTTGGTAAATTGTTCCAGTGAGGAGCAGAACTGGAAATAATTTCCCTAATACATGTACTAAGTTTCACCACTGCTCAGCTGCCACACAAGTCCAAAAGCCACTTGGTGTCGATTACATCCAAATCACAAATACAAGCGTATATGCACTTACACTCGATAGCCTACCAACAATGAGCATTGGTCAGAAACTCACAACTGGCTCAGGCTTGGGAGATCCTGGCCTCCCTGCAGTCATGCTATAGTGGAAGGTAACAGCTGTGACAAAGAAACCCCTAAAACCCTTGCATTGTCTGCACTATAATAAACAAGAGATGTCACTGCCAGATGCTGGACCTTAGCTAAAGCCAAATGAGGCAGATAAGAGCTGAACCCTGTCCACGGGCCCGGTTAAGACAAGATTAAGGGCTGGGCCCCCCTTTTTAAGGTTTTCTTCTTGTCTTTTTGCCATATTTCTTCCTAAGCAGTTCTTTATAATAAATTTAACAAACCTATAGCACCAATTATTTACTGCCCCTGGTACCCAATTAACCGTATTTTTCTTTTTCTTGCCTCAACCCAAACTTTAGATAAGCTCCTGCTGATATGGGAAGATTCACACAGATCTAACACAAATAACCCAACTTTCTCAGGATCTCCTTCTTTTGGGTCACGTGCTTTGAGCTTATCACACATACTAACATCCAAACTCAATTAAAAACCATAATTCACCCAGGCCCAATGTCGGTCTATAGGCATACAGGCAGAACTTGCTCCATACAAGAGGGGGTCATTTTGTTTATTATGATTAATTATTTGTATTATCGTAGCACCCAGGAGCCGCCTGGCCCCCAATGTGCCAGGTGCTGTACAAACACAGGACAAAGAGACAGTTCTCCCACCCAAGGTGTTTACAATCTTGCTGTTGAACTCTCACCCTCGTGCTAGTTTGCAGTTACCTGCATGGCCTTGGACCTGATATAATTAATATTTTAATACCCTTCTATCAGGTGGGCTTTTCCTTTAGCAGCACGACAGTGCAGACAAGATGCAATGAGACTCCAGAGCGCTCAGGTTAAAACCCACCCGGCACAAAGGGACCCCAGGAAGTCCTAAGTCCGCCATCAGCTGGCCATCGAAGGAAAGGCCCACGGGGAAGCTACAGTCACCTCCTCCCTCTCTGTTATGCAGGGTGCTGAAGGTGTTCCTCTCCCGCTCAGCCCAGCGAATGCCCTACATGACCAGCGGGCGGGTGCTGAAGATGCTGGGGCTGATCCTGCTCTTGGTGCTCTGGTTCCTGGCCGCCTGGACGGTGGGGATGTTGGAGAACATCGATAAGAACATCCCGCTGGTGATCCGCTCCCAGACTGCCAAGGGGCTTCAGTTCTACATCTGCGACCATGACCGGTGGGACTACATGATGGTTGTGGGTGAGACCCTGCGTCCGAAGCTTCGGACATCACAAGAGAGGGAGGGGAGGAGGCCTTCAGTTTGCCCAGAGATGTCATTGTACCAGAGTCTACAAAGGTCTAAGGACACAGAGCCCCCAAATGGGGCAGGGTGCTTAAAGAGACTCAGTGGACTTGTCTGTAGGACCCAGGCTTATCATAGAATCATAGAATATCAGGGTTGGAAGGGACCTCAGGAGGTCATCTAGTCCAACCCCCTGCTCAAAGCAGGACCAATCCCCAATTAAATCATCTCAGCCAGGGCTTTGTCAAGCCTGACCTTAAAAACTTCTAAGGAAGGAGATTCTACCACCTCCCTAGGTAACGCATTCCAGTGTTTCACCACCCTCCTAGTGAAAAAGTTTTTCCTAATATCCAACCTAAACCTCCCCCACTGCAACTTGAGACCATTACTCCTTGTCCTGTCATCTTCTACCACTGAGAATAGTCTAGAACCATCCTCTTTGGAACCCCCTTTCAGGTAGTTGAAAGCAGCTATCAAATCCCCCCTCATTCTTCTCTTCTGCAGACTAAACAATCCCAGTTCCCTCAGCCTCTCCTCATAAGTCATGTGTTCTAGACCCCTAATCATTTTTGTTGCCCTTCGCTGGACTCTCTCCAATTTTTCCACATCCTTCTTGTAGTGTGGGGCCCAAAACTGGACACAGTACTCCAGATGAGGCCTCAACAATGTCGAATAGAGGGGAACGATCACGTCCCTCGATCTGCTGGCTATCCCCCTACTTATACATCCCAAAATGCCATTGGCCTTCTTGGCAACAAGGGCACACTGCTGACTCATATCCAGCTTCTCGTCCACTGTCACCCCTAGGTCCTTTTCCGCAGAACTGCTGCCGAGCCATTCGATCCCTAGTCTGTAGCGGTGCATTGGATTCTTCCGTCCTAAGTGCAGGACCCTGCACTTATCCTTGTTGAACCTCATCAGATTTCTTTTGGCCTAATCCTCCAATTTGTCTAGGTCCCTCTGTATCCTATCCCTACCTGCCACCGTATCTACCATTCCTCCTAGTTTAGTATCATCCGCAAATTTGCTGAGGGTGCAATCCACACCATCCTCCAGATCATTTATGAAGATATTGAACAAAACCGGCCCCAGGACTGACCCCTGGGGCACTCCACTTGATACTGGCTGCCATCTAGACATGGAGCCATTGATCACTACCCTTGTGGACTCGGAGAGAGTCCACCCTGCAGTGTTAAAACTGGGTTTACAATTGCTGGACCCGCGTCTCACAGTCGTTCTAACATGTTCTTCTGACTCAAGTCTGTGGCTTGAACTGTGTCCACATTGCAAAACGACAGGGCTTGGACCCAAGTCTCAGCAGGGCTTGGGTTCTGAGCCACCCACCTAGCAGGGTCCTAGGACTTGGGTCCTGAGTGCTTGTTGACCTGGGTCAGACTGATTTGTGTGTGGACAGAAGTGGGGGCTTGGGCTCAAACCTGAGTCAGAACCCAAGCTTAGTGTGTAGTGTAGACATACGCACTGCGGCCAGTTCTGGCACAGAGCAATTCTCAGCAAGGAGACAGGAAAGCCACAAGCAGGTTCAATGTAAACCACACGGGGCCAGGTTTTTATACTGACGCTTACCGTGCTCCCCAAGTGGCCTCAGTGGGATTATTCCTGCTTTAAAGTACCACCTGAGAGGAGCGAGAGTGGCAGAGCCTGGCTCGTGGCAAGGAGGGGCAGAATGGCTCCTGGAAATGCGCCTGGCTAATGACGAAAGGCCGCGCGTTAGCACTGAGATGCCCCTCATGGGAGAACCCTCTGCTGTTGGTCATCCACTCCACCTGCTGTGCTGTGGAGGTGCTGGGCAGGCCTCCTTTCAGGCTCCCGCACCTACCTGGGCAACATGGGGATGTCCCGCACCGGGCACTGATAGGGAGACGCGTGCTCGAAGGCACAATGTCTGGGATCTGCGGCAGAAGCAAAGTAGTGGAAGCTATTGGACTTATAGTGCAATCCACACGTACGGGCTTCCCCTCCTGTTCTCTCTTGCGGGTATATGTCCATGGATGCAGAGAGAGGCAAATAAAACAAAATAGAGGGGATATCCAGGCAGGTCTCCGGGGCTACCCCTCTTTCCCATCCTGGTCCTGACGACTCTAATAATGTGCCGTGGTTCTGGGGATCACAACGCTGCCTTCAGAACCACGGGGTGATCCCCGTAATCAATCTGGGCTTGCGGCATACAGGCCATTCTGGCTCTAGGCAGAGAGAAGTGCTTGGAGGATGGGCATGGAAGAAGGCTGCCCTCCTAACAGAGAGTTCATGCCAGCTAGCTCGCCTTAACTAGACCATCAACCGGCTGGCACCTGAGCTCCATGGACCACAGTGCCTCGATATAAAAAATGAATGTCCTAGAGAAACGGGCCCTGGCCTTTACTGCTCATCTCTCTTTTTCTCCTGCCAGCTGAGATGCTCTTCTTATTCTGGGGCAGCTTCTTGTGCTACGCCACCCGGACGGTGCCCTCTGCCTTCCATGAACCTCGCTACATGGGCATCGCCCTGCACAATGAGATGATCATCTCTGCAGCCTTCCACGTTGTCAGGTGGGGATGGGGAATCACCCAGCCAGAGGTTCCCTTTGGCTGCAGGACCTGGTGCTCTCTCTGCCCTGGGTGCCCACAGCTCAGTCCAGTTCAGACAGAAAGGGAGTTGGAGACTCACATGTCAGCAACAAACACAATCCCACTCCCCTCTCCCGCCAGGGCTGGACCTAGATTTTGCACACCAGCTGAGTCTTGTGCTGTAGATGTTAGTCACGGGGGCAGGTCAAGTGCAAGTGGCAACTTGAGCTCATTCAAAACCAGGTCACCCCATCGGGCAGCTCTTTCCTCCTCCCTCTTCTGATCTCCCAGCTCAGCTCCCAGCACGAGCAAGATCCCCAGCCCCTGAACCAGCACTGCAGAGTGAGATCCCCAACGGCGTACAACAGGACCAGTGACGCCCCCTGCACTGTCCCACCAACCCAGGGTGCTAAATGCTCCGCAATGGGACCTAGTGCTTAGAGCAGAGGATGGGGTTCGGGATGTCTGGGTTCCACTCCCAGCTGGAGGGAGAGTCGTTCAGAGGCTAGAGGAGGAGAGTGGAAGTCCGAGAAATCCTGGGTTCTAGTCACTGACTCTCTGTCTCACATAAGGCGCATCACTTTAACCACTCGGAGCCTCAGTTTCCCACCCCCAGCAGCACATTGTGGAGAATAATACTTACCACCTTGGTAAAGTTAGAGAGGTCCACTCCTGAGAGTGTTAGTACCGAAGGAGACTGGCAGCATTGCCTAAAGGGTAGCGCCCCGGAGACCTGGCTTCTATTCCTGGCTCTGCAACTGGTTTGTTGGGTGATGTTCAGCAAGTCGCAGCCTTGCTCCATGCCTCAGTTTCCCCATCTGTAAAATGGAGATAAACGAGACCAACCTTTGTAAAGCGCTTTGAGATCTACAGATGAACTGCGCTAGATAAGAGCGAGGGGTCATTCTGACAGGTAAATGCAGAGTGTACGTATGCACCAACTAGCAGGACAGCAAGCAACTGCTGGGGAGGGGTTCTTGTTTTGGGGACATCACCTGAATACTTTGGGACGGCACCCCCGCCTTGCCCAGCGAAGGGGTGGGATAATTTAACGAGACAGGCCAAATGCTGGGGACTTCTTTTGTTTTTAAATCAGGCTTTTCTCAGGCCAAACTCCCATTGGGATGGGTTCCCCGCCCCCCAGCTGTGTTACATCCATGTAAAGCCACTGGTGTCAGTGGAGCTACTGCTGACTTACACCAGGGGCCAGGAGAGGTGAATCAGGCCCCTGAACAAAGGCATAGTCACTGCCTGCGCAAGGAAGGGGCAGAGCAAAGGGGATCTGGCCCAAAGCTTTTATGCGGTGCCTCTCTTGGTCCGGATCCAAAGGCCAAGAGAGTGCATGGGAAGCGTCCCAGCCGCCGTCACTGGGCCTTTAGCCCCCAGCCCCTTTTGCAAATGCGCAGGTAAGATTTTATTCCCCAAGGCCATGGGGAAGAAAGACCAAGTCCGGCCCTCTGTAAATTACGTCTCCCCCCCACCCCGTCTAGGTTCGTGATGGTTCCCTCGCTGCATCCCGACTGGACGCTGCTGCTGTTCTTTATTCACACGCATGTCACCATTACCATGACGCTCGCACTGCTCTTCATCCCAAAGGTAACCCGCCTCCGGCCTCTTCCCCCAGCATTGCTCTCCCGGAGGCTGAAAACACAATCCTGCTTTCCCTTCCCAGTTACCTTTGGGGTAGGTTCCCCTTTTTAAAGCACCCAGAGCCATCCCTAACAAGCTGAACAGCCTGCCTGCTCCTCGGGAACTGCCTGGCCCGCAAGGGATAACCATTTGCAGATGCTGCAGCATTGGAAATAGAGGGGCAGATTTGTCCTTGGATGGACTGAGACAACAGAAAGGCAATGGTTACGGGCCTGATTCAGAAACGGTAGGGGACGGTGCAGCAAGGACTGCCCCATGGGACTTTGCAGGGGGACAGGTCAGTCCCTGTTACTCCCCTTGCCTCCTCCAGCCTGCCCAGCAGTGCCCCCCATGCCCAGGGCTGGGGTGCAGAGCTGGCAGAGGGGTAGATAGCGTATGAGGGCTTGCATGTATTGCAGTGGTGGGCAAAGCATTCTGGGTTATCCCACTGCACGGAGAGCTGGGAGGAAGGAGGGCCAGCCAAACCAATCACTCAGGTACCATTCAGGGGTGCTGCCAAAAAACAGGGTACCCAGGCCTCCAGCAGGGGTGACGCACCATTAGCTGCCCTGGCTAGTATCTGAGCGACCGAGGGGTTTAGCGCCAACCACGCCGGTTAACTGGTGCAAAGCTGCAGTGAAGCCAGGGTCTACCGTCTACTGCAGGCTCGGCCCAGGCGGGGTGACGGGAGGCGTCTGTCTTCACTGCAGAGTTCACTCCAGTTATCTACACCCAGGTTGCTCCTCTCAAGTTGGCCTCGCTCAAGGGAGCACGGCCACATGACAGCACCCCAGCGGCTGTGTCCACACTGGCCTTGCGCATGCTCCCGGGGGGGCGTATCATGGGGGTCTTTGGGAGTCAGTCAAAACGGAGCTAGCCTGCGTCCACACAGAGAGGCCGCTGAGGCAGCTGAGTTTCACTCGATCGGTAGCCTATTCCCTCTCTAAGGCCGAGCAACTGATGTCAACAGCCCCACCGCGCTCGGGAGAAGAGTTCGCGTGTGTGGCTGGGACTCGAGCGAGGGGGGACGCTCCAGGTATAACTCTGCAGCGAAGACATGCCCCAGGCCATTAAGGAGAAAGAGAGGTGAGATGGCGCCGGGTTTTGCAAAGGCGTCCAAGAGGAGATAGGTGCATTTGCGGGCCAAACTCCCCCGGCTGCCCTGACAACCCCAGCCTGCAAGCGGCAAGGGCTTCAACCCCTGCCACTGCTCTCTTCCCCCAGTTCTTGCATGCCAAATCACCCCTGCGGGAGGAGATCGCAGCGGAGGTCTACGAGGACGAGCTGGACATGCGGCGCTCAGGCTCCTACCTGAACAACAGCATCACGTCGGCATGGAGCGAGCACAGTCTTGACCCCGATGACATTCGGGTGGGTGGCACACTCAGGACCTTCTTTTGACGCTAGCTATACAGGACTGTGCAGAGTAAGAGTTGCCTTTTGCAGTCTTTCTCCTGAAGCAAACAAAAAAGGGGTGGCGAGGGTTATGCCTGCCCTGGGGCTTTCGTGGATCTCCCTTCCCTCCTCAAGTGAGGGGTGACATCCCTCCGCGATCATGGGACAGGGGGTGGAAGCAGGGGCTGCTTCACCCATCCTCCAGCAGCAGTGGAGAACGTGGGACCGTCAGTAGCAAAGTAGTCAATAAGGCTGACCTCGACAGTGACATTGTTAGTCTCCAGAGTCAACACTCAGTGGAAATGGGGGCCGGGGGTGTGCCAAGTTTACAGCTTTATCCGGGCCTGATCTGTCAGCCCTTACTCACAGGAGTCACCCCACAGGCCGGTTGGTTCTGTCTGCCTTGCTGAAGACCCAGGCACGGACCGCTGCAGTGGGTCACAAGTGGAGGGTTTTTCCTTTGCACCTTTAGGGGCTAGCAATGAGGAGTCTGGTTTTCCAAGGTGCTGAGCACCTGCAGTGCCAGTTGGCTTCAGCAGCTGCGGTGGGCGCCCAGCATCTTGGGCTCTTTATTAATTATTAATTATTATTATTAATCAGGGGTTTAAAAATCCTGCATGGTGGTGCTGGTACAATGGATGGCTATATCCCAGCTCAATCCAAACCCCCTCACTACCGCCCTCCCTTCCTTTTCACCCCTCTTCTGAAGGAAATCCAGACACATTTTACACCCCTGATCAAAAGGAAAATGAACCCAGAGGCTGACGTACATTTCAGAGGTTCATAGGCGCAAAGGGCCATGAGGAGCCTTCCAATGGGATTTAGGCACCTCCTTCTGAAAATCCCACCCCTGAAAAAACACCCCTCAAAAGGACCGGATGATCCAGTTTAATCAAGATTCACTCTGCGATGTCGCGATCAGCCCAACAACTGGAAATTGGGGCTTAGAAACTCACCCTGGTGAGAGGGGAGGGGAAACTGAGTAAACATGACTCATCCCTGATTGGATCAGATTTCTTATCTCACTATGGGAGGCTGTATAGCTCTCTAGGGTATGTGCTCCCCCATGTCAGCCCATCCCAGGAGCAACCGGTCTTGCTGTTAATTCCTGGGCTTGCAGAGAATAGCTAGAGCTGGGCGGCAAATGGATTTGTTTTCTGTGGAAAATTTGTTTTCTGTAGATGAAAATAAATTCAAAGACATTGGCCGAAAAACAAGAGTTTGATTCTGAACTTCCCCCGGTGTCTCGTGCACCTGGTTTCCAACATAGGCCTGGCCGGCTGGTTGGCTAACATTTCCCAAGCTAACAGACCTGGTCCTTTCACTCAAGGAGCAGAGGCCTATGATTTTAGCTCCAAAGCCGAGCCAACCAAGTGGTGGTGTTAAACTTTGATTGAATAAGAGGTTTTTATGTATTTATCTGTGTTCCTTTCTTTTTATCCTCTCTCCTCTGCCTTCCCAAACTCCACTCAACGTGTAGGATGAATTAAAAAAGCTTTACACGCAGCTGGAGGTCCACAAAACCAAGAAGATGACCGCCAACAACCCTCACCTTCAGAAAAAGAGGAGCTCCAAGAAGGGCCTGGGCCGCTCCATTATGAGGCGCATCACCGAGATACCAGAGTCCGTGTCTCGGCAGTGCAGCAGAGAGGGCAAGGAGAGCTCCGGCACGGGTGGCGGTGGGAGTCGCTCCGGCTCCTACAAAAGAAGGCTTCTGGACTCCGGCAGCTCCAGCGTGAAGGTGAAAGATGACTCCTCCAGGCACAAAGCCTTCTCTCTGAGGAAGTCCCACAGCACCTACGACCACGTGCAGGACACCAAGGAGGGCTCCTCGCCCCCCAGGCGCGACAGCGTCTGCAAGGAACCCCCGCTGCTGGACACCTTGATGAGGAAAAAGCTGGCCAAGAAAGCCGCCGAGAGAACCAAAGGCGATTCCCTGGACTCGGCCCCCCTCGTCTACAAGTCTGCCAGTGCCCACAACCTGTTGGCGGACAAGAAACCCCTTCACCCCAAACCCTCCCCCTTGCAGAAATCCCTCAGCGTCCTCATGAGTGCCAGAGAGAAGGCCCTGCTGTTGACCAGCCGGGCGTATATGGAAGACAGCTGTGAACAAGCTGGAGAAAAGGAGGGCAAGGGGAAGGAGGGAGCTTCCACTCCTGCAATGCAATCCTCAGGGCAGGCGGATGGCGGGGAGGCCACTGAGCAGGCCCCGGAGGAAGGGAAGCAGCCGCAGAGCGATGACGTAGCCCAAGGGACCGTGAGCTTCTTCCTGCAAGACAGCTTTGACAGGGCCACCGTTTGCCCCTGGGGGGAGGAAGTGACCCCACCAGACAGCAAGGTGCAGAAACACGTCACGTATGCCCCAATGAAAAGCATCAGCGTTGACAGCTCTCACCTGTCAGGGAGGGTGCCCCCTGCCAGCAGGAGAACACCACCGCAACCACCCATCAGGTACCAAAGCTTGGCTCACAGTCTCGAAAGGAGCGAGGTTGCCCCCGGGGACGCTCAGGAGCACATGCGGCCTGCCACAGACGCTCCTGGTCAGGGCTCCAAAGATACAGGTGCGCTGATCTACAGCTGTCCATGGGAGGTGGAGGAGCTTGCGGGAAAGATGGAGAAGGCAGAGCGGGGAGAAGAAAATGTGCAACCTCCGTCCACGCCTGGGAAGAGCAGGCTGCTGTCTGGACCTTCCTTTGCTGCGGAAATATGCCCATGGGAACTGGCGGAGGAGGAAGGTTTCAATCAGAGTCAGCAGGACCAGCCGAGCAAACCAGGAGGTGCCGAGAAACCAAACAGCTCTCTGGCAAAAGCCCAAAGCCTTAAAATCTCCCCCCAGAAAAGCTCCCTCAAGAGTTTAGGGTTAGCCATTAGAGCGTTTAACCGGGCAAGGGAGAAGAGCAGCATTAAAGGAAGGAAGGAGGACGAGGGGAGCCAGAGAGAGAAAGAGAAAGAAAAAGAGGCTGGCAGTAGACACGATAAGCCCAAACTAGCAGAAACCTCAACGCTATCCATCGGCAGGACGGCAAGGCGAGAGGCCGCAGCCAGAGGTCCCGAGGAAAGCAGGCAGAAGATGAGTAAACAAGCCACCATCTGTCCCTGGGAAGAGGCGAATACAACCCCACCCCAGCAAAACAAGGATGCCAGCAAAATGTTTGAAATATGCCCATGGGAGGTGAGTGTGGAAGAAGCAGATGGTGCCCAAGAGGGGTCAGTTCCAGCCAAAGCAAGCAGCAGAGCAGAAAGGAGGAGTTCAAAAGACACAGGAGGCACCATACGTAGGAAGCTGGAGAGGATGAGGAGCCAGTGGGAATCCATGTGTCCCTGGGAGACCATAAATTCTGGTGGAGCCCTCCAACAATGGAGCATGGATGAGGCTAAAACGTCCCATCACTCCAAGATGGACAGCAAGAATCCCGAGGCATGCCCCTGGGAAACTGCAGAGGTTATAACCAGTGTCAAAAATGAAATATGCCCTGTGGACACAACTGAAGCTCCACCAGTGAAACAGGGTAAAGACAGAGCTCCCAAAGGGGACAAGAGCATCACGCTGAAAGCAGCGGCAGGTCCAGGCAAAACACTGGAGAAGGGAAGCAGCCAGCGAGAGGCCATCTGCCCCTGGGAGAGCTTGGACATGGAGGAACTGTCAGCAAAAACTGACACAAAACACACTGATCTGCCAAAAGGGACTTCAAAGAAATCTGACAGCGCTGAAAGCAGAAAGGCAGAGGTTTGCCCGTGGGAAACAGCGGAGGTTGAAACCAGTGTTAATGCTGAAACCTGGGAGGTGGCTGATGCGCCACCAGAGAAAGGAACTTTATTAAGTAAAGTTGGTGTGACTTCCAAAGAGGATAAGAGCATCAGGTCAAAAGCAACAGGTGCATCTAAAACACTGGAGAAGGGGAGCAGCCAGAGGGACTCCATCTGCCCCTGGGAGACCATGGATGTGAAGGACCCATCAATAAAACCAGTTTCCAAAAGTTTTGATCTATCTAAAGTTTCCTCCAAGAAATCTGACAATGCTGATAACAAAAAGGCAGAGGTTTGTCCATGGGAAAGTGCAGAGGTCGAAACCAGCATTCAAACGGAAATCTGCCCCTGGGAAGCAGCTGAAACTTCATCGGATAAAGGGAAAATAAAACAGGATAGGGATGAAGCTTACACAGCCAGTTCAAGGGAGACCAGAGATATGCCATCTAAGAAGTTAGAGACAGGGGGCAGTCAGCGAGAATCTGTCTGCCCCTGGGAGAGTATGGATATGGAGGAACTCTCAATCAAGCCTGCTACAAAGAGCCTAGATCTGTATAAAGCTGCTTCAAAGAAATCGCACAGTGTTGAAAGCAAGAAGGCAGAGGTTTGTCCCTGGGAAAATGCAGATGTTGAAGCCAGTGTTAAAACTGAAATCTGCCCCTGGGAGGTAGCTGAGACTCCACCAGAGAAAGAAACACAGGAGAAAGTTGGTCTCTCCAAAGGCGACCAGAGCATCACCTCGAAAGCAGCAGCGAGTCCATCTAAAATGCTGGAGAAGGTGCAGCGAGAGTCCATCTGCCCCTGGGAGACCATGAGTGTGGAGGAATCCTCTGTAAAAATGGACAGTAAAAGCTTTGAACCGTTCAAAGGCCCTTCAAAGAAATCCAGCAGTGTGGAGAGCAAAAAGGTAGACGTTTGCCCTTGGGAAAGCAAGGAGGTTGAAGCCAGCATTAAAGCTGAAATATGCCCTGGGAAAGTGTCTGAAGCTCCATCAGATAAAGGGAAATTAAGACAGGACACAAGTGCGGGAGAGCAGACAGGTTCAAGAGGAACTGGAGACATCCCATCTAAAATGCTGGAGAAGGGAAGCAGCCAGCGAGAGTCCATCTGCCCCTGGGAGGACTCCTCTATAACAACTGACCTGGGCAAAATTTCATCGAGGAAATCTGACAGCGTTGAGAGCAAAAAGTCCGATATTTGCCCTTGGGAAGGATTAGATCCAAAAGCGGTTGAGAAAGAAAGTTCGAAGGCAGAAATATGCCCGTGGGACGTCGAA